CTTATTTCTAAGCCGATAGGGGTGAAAAAACGGTCGGTGCGCATGACAATTTGAACGCCAGATTGTCAATTTAGAGCATTCTGCGTCACATTTCCCACGGGCGTATTACGACAAATTATATTATTTTTTTATTAATAACGCGCTATTTTAATAATCATTATTATTGAAACATTTGTTTTAACTGCGTATTAAACAAAAACCGTTTTTAATTGATTTTCTTAAATTAAAAGGTGTCATAGTTGAATGTAATAAGTGTTAAATTTACTTTGATGGTCCTTTTTAGTGCATTTCGATACGCACATGTGGGCGCCAAAGTGTCAAATATCACCTCGCTATGAGGCTTGATTTTGTTGATCGGCTTTGTTCTTCCAGTTTATTATAAGGTATGTTCATCACGCACGAAAACCGTAATATTACCGTACAAATCATGCGCTGTATACAATTTTTGGGTAGAGCGTACGATTTGTAAGGTAATACCGGTAATACTCATAGAAATAATATAGAAGACCAATATAAACATAACATTTAAGCAGAAATTGAAACCTACTGTGCATAAAAACGCGTCTCTGCGCCTGACATCGCAAAATAGTGTGTCTAGAAGCTTGCGCAATATGCATGACTTGTCCCTGTAGTGTTGCCAAATATATTAAACATACCTAACAGAAAAGAATTTTAAATTAATTAATTTTTAAATTATATGATTTAAACAGTTTATATCTACGAAATATCGCCACAAAATAACTTATACACATTTAAATAATCAACTAATAATATTTATGTGTAATTACATTCCCAAAAATATATACAAATACCGTATTAATGTCATTAATATCGTATTTTTAATGTTCAATAAGCGATTCACCTACAAATTCAATATTGACCTGGCAATAGCACTAAAATCCGGTGTTTCAAGGCTATATGACCCTGCCCTTACAGGACCGTTTGTAGTTTATTATTTATGCCGCGTTTGAGAATCCACATCGGATGCATCTGAGATGTAGTAAGTAGTAAATCTTTGATCACGTGATTCAGTATACGTAAATGTAATGGGACAGATGTGTCCGATGTGGATAAAAAACGCTCGAGATGTAAAAAATGCATCCGATGTGGATTCTCAAACGCGGCATTAATTACACGATGAAAGTGGCATTTTATTTTTAGTTTTGTGTAGTGTTTAGTCAAATCCTAGGTACAATAAAAGACATTTTTACATTGGCTAATGAAAATGTAATCAATGTATTAGGCAGCTGTTATATTTATTACAAGATTTATGTCTGCAAATCTTAACCTACCTAATAATTATAATTATGTAAATAGAGAGCTGTATATTTATATACAGGCTGCCCAGCGACGGGGAGACATTATCGATATCGGTTTTAAGGCATTTTAAAACATAAACCCGATCTCAACAATCTTAGGAACTCTTCTGTCACTCGATATTTTAATCGGTACTTCCTCTTCGCTTTTTGGCTGGCACAACAATTATTTACATTTCTTCATTCCTTACCGCGTTCGAACCAGTAAGGTTTAAAGAAATTTAAAAAAAAACCTACTTTAAAAATAAAGATGTTAATGATTTTCTTATGGATCCCATCTTCAGATCTTGACTTAATGTATATAGAACTGTTTCCTTTTCTAACAAAAATAATCCTAGAAATCGGGCAACATGGTAAAGAATTATCGCTCAACATACATAAAAAAAATATTTCAACGAATTGAGAATATCCTACCATTTTGAAGTATGTTAAAAAAAAATTGTTAATAAAGTGAAAAGTAGGGCATGAACATATATTATAAAGTATATAAAATGATAGATAAATCCAGTTTAGAAGGTATTATAAATAAACTGTGGAAATATCGAGAATCTCGATTTTGAATCGGAAAAATATTCTACGCAATTTAGTATGAAAGCTGATCAAAATGAAACACATGAACGACAAACTGTTAATGACAACTTTCTTCAAACGTTTTCTATTTTTCCGAAAACTAACTAGATAGTTCGAAAATCATTTCCTTCGTTAAAACGCCTCTTGTTCCGAAAAAGGTACACGCCTGCCAACATTCATCGTTCATTAAAAAAGTGGTAGATACAAAACGCTTCGTATTGTAAGGCCAAAATATATTTAGAAATCGAAATAGTCATATAAACATAAAAAATCATATGAGTGAGATAACTACCAAATTAATGATTTACAAGTTTATTCCTATTATTTATAAAATAGGTTTGCAATGTGCTAGTGTGGAATGTTATCATCGACTAAAAACTTTAAATCTTTATATTAAATTGATCGAAAACAAACTATAAATTGGTTTAGGCTATATAGAATGTTTCTAGTAAGCAGCAACTAATTTTTATTATGGAACCGAAAGACCCTTTTAAAAAGGTTCAAAATTAAAATAAAATATGTACCAAGTAAATGTAGTAGTATTTTTTAATTTTTTAATTTATATTGAAAATGGTAACATGAAAGGTTTTGTGTCTAACGACTCATAGTCTCGGCTGACAAAATGTAAAAAGATATCGAACATAATATTCCTGGGCCCTATTTTGCAATCCTCAGATTAAATTTAGTTGTAGCAAATGATATTATCAAATAAGATGTCAAATCACAAGCAAAATCTCGTGACTACAGTACTAATGATTGCCTGTTTGGAAAAGTATCTTTGTTTGTAAATATTTATATGCATAGTTATATTTAAATGCGCGAGTGTAATGTTAAGTATAAACAAAATCCGCCCATTATGTATATACGTTTAGTTACCGACCCTAGTAGATAGGCAATTTGTTATTGTTTTAAGTTTTACCGTAGGGAGAGAAAATCAATAGAGAGTTTTAGCAAATGTACGTAAGATTTCCGCTAACGTTACGTTAAACTTAGATTGTGACCTTTTTCATAAAGATTGAACGGAGTAGATTACAGTCTATCCCTAAGGTAACGTTAGCGGATGGTTAGCGGCTGTTTGCTAAAACTCCCTATTATTAGGATAAATGGTCCAGCTCCTTTCTGGTTACGTAGGTACCTAAAAAGTATTTTATTTATTGGTTAAGTAATTAATTATTGTAACAGTGATTTTCTTGTGATAGTACCTAATTTAGATTGTGGATTAAAGTTTTTGTATATAATTTCGCTGTTTAATAATAAACGTAGTCAAAACCGGAGCACGTGGTTTTTCTGGAAAGTATTTTTAAAATCACAAGCAAAATCCCATGACTACTGTACTAATGATTGCCGAAAATTAACTAATTCATATTTTATGCCATATCTTTCTTAATAAGGACTGTCAGAACCATATTTACCTTAACTTGAAATTTTTTTAATCGTTTTTTGTATAGAATCATCTCTAAAAATGTATGATTGAAATATCGTGCTAACTATTTGTTCGATCAATAAAAAACTTGCACCGGTCCTGTTCGCGCCAGCACCGTTATACGCATGAGCTCCGACACACTATTTTCTCCTTATGGTTTCATTTTTGATATATGGAATCGGCTTTCTATACTATTTCTATGGTAATACTACGGTTTTCGTACGTGTTGGAACAAACCTATATGTCGCGTTTGAGAATCCACATCGGATGAATCTGAGATGTAGTAAATCTTTGATCACGTGATTCAGTATACGTAAATGTAATGGGACAGATGTGTCCGATGTGGATAAAAAAACGCTCGAGATGTAAAAAATGCATCCGATGTGGATTCTCAAACGCAGCAAAAGACAGGTTATTTTTCATCTCACTCGGGAGTATTTATAACTACCATTTTCTATTTCACTTTGTTATTGTCTGATCCACCAGCATGTGGATTGAACAATAACAAAGTGAAACAGAAAATGGTTATTATAAATACTCCCGAGTGAGATGAGAAATAAAAATGGCTGCGCCCATAGAGTCGCATATTGTTCTATTGATACAATATGCACATTGGCTTTCTACCCCCACTCCAGTTCATTGAATGGGACAGAAGATGTAACCGATGTGGATAAAAAACGCTCGAGATGTAAAAAATGCATACGATGTGGATTCTCAAACGCGGCAATAGTTCAGTGGATATAGCGCATTGTGGATAGCCGCTAAATGTCCAAATTGAAAGCTCGACTGTTCTTAAACGAACCAAGACCAAATTTTTCGCACTCTTTTTGGTGGAAGCGTGTTTCCTGAACGCACTCCAACGGACGGAACGTACTCTACGAAATTCGAAAATTTGACGTTCGACGTTGACATCTTATTTTAGGCGGTTGTAATTTATTTCCTGTATTCAGTGTTGCCGTTGCTATTACAATTGTAACAAATCTATTACTAAAAAGTTACACCATTACGTTATTACGACTTTTAAGAAATGAGGATAAATCTATTACTGTTTAAAATATCAAAATTTTATGAGTGGCTCTATTTAAACTTCAGAGCTTATACTTACAAAAATTTAGAAATCTATACATTTGTTATTTCTGTGTTTTCTTGTTTCAACAAATCCAAGATAGGCGTCACTTTATTATATTATATTATTTTTTATGGGTCAGTTTTTAATTTAGTAGGGGATTATCACCAGCCTCCAGCATTTCAGCATAATTTATGTATTGTTTTTAATAACGTAGACCCCTTCAAGACTAAAGAAATATTAAATTACAAAAATTTACCCTTTAAAATAAAAAAATTCACTGGATGAACCATTTGTTTAAAATTTAAAAAAATTAATTTATGATTTATTAGCATTGCCCCATTCTTTTGCAGCAGCAGAAATATTTTTTTCTTAACTAAATAATATTAAAGTTTTATTGTTAACTGTATTTAGCGCCGATTCCACCGAAGTGTTAAACGGAGATTAAAATGACATTGTTAATGTAAAAAATGTCATTTTAAACTTCGTTTAACACAACGGTGGAATCGGTCCTTAATAATAGTTCTGGTACATTTATGTTACTTTAAAATATTATCTATTACGATTTTATTACCTTTTGGTTCAAAATTCTATTACGAAAAAATTAATTGGTGTGGCAACACTGCCTGTATTTATTCTTTATTTTATTTTTTATTCCATTCATTCATAGAAAAAGTACTTCCATCCGTTTCATTTTGTGTAGTAATCATCACTCCTCTTTTCACCATAATTTTACTTTGAAAACTATGGTCAATTACCGGAGTACAAAACAATGAGTAACATCCTAGACTCAGTTGGCCGAAGTCCTAAAACTCCTAAACGAAATGAAAGTGTTGATAAAGCTAAATGTGTGACCCCACTTCGCATTGAACTACAAAGTTTTAATTCCCAAACTTGTAAAAGTGGAGATAAAACGGAGTTTCTCACTCCACTTTCAGTTAAACTGGAATCATTAGACCTTAAAACTCCCAAAAGTGAAAATAAAACAAAGTGTCTCACACCTCTTTCTGTTAAACTAGAATATTTAGATATTAATTCTATCAAAAGTGGAAACGATAAGAAACTTAAAGTTGAAGTAGATAATTATATCCCAACACACATAAAGTAAGTACATATTGACTTACTCAACTTTCAGTTAATAAACTAAATAATTCTAGCCCAGTTCATAAAGGAACTATTGCTGTAACTAAGAATCTTACTCCATTTTCCGGCAAACTAGACCAATTAGATGTTTGCCCATTAACAAATTTAGAATATAAACAAATAAGATGTACATCCTTAAGAAATACTCCTAAAAGAAACAGGCCTGCAACCAAAACTGCTAACAGTACACAATTTTCTATAAATCAGTTGGATAGTGTTGGCTCTAACAAAAGATTTTTTGAAATGAATACTACACAAAAACCCATATTGAATGTAACACTAAAAGATTTGCAATATAATGGTGTAGATCCTTCTACACCTCAGGCTCATGTGCAGTTTAGTCAAGAATTAAAAAAAGTGTTAAATGAAAGAAACATCTTAACTTGCAAAACAAGAAAACATGTTTTTGATGCCTTAGATGAACTAAAAAAAACAGGTATGTACGTTTAACCTTATAATAGTTGCTCCAAGTCTGTTAGATTCCATTATTGTACTATTTTCTGCACTTTAAATTTTGATCTAGAAATTAAACTCATTTATTTCATAGAACCTTCATATACGTATTAGTTCTTTTCCTTTGAATCAAAAGTGTAGCACTGAGCTATGCCACTTCTGAAAATATTCCATCCATACAATTTGTATAAATGGAACGATATTTTCAGAAGTGGTGTAGCCCAGGGCTACACTTTCGATGCAAAGAAAAAGACCTATTATCTCTACCTTGTAAACCTAAAATTTAAAATATTACATATATTTTCTGTAGCATTTTCTATAAAAATAAAAAATCATTAATTATTATTATTATTATAGATGAAGATGAAAGCAGAAGAAACAAAAGAGAAAAATCCCTACTGGAAATAGTTAATAGTGAAATCAAATATGTTCACCAGCTTGAAATCATTATTATGTTCTTTTTAAAACCAACACAAGAGAGAAAACTTTTGAGAAGTGAAGATTTTCAAACATTGTTTGGACATATAACTCCCATTCATAATATTAATAAAGAACTTCTACTAGAGCTAGAAGAAAGTTCTAATAATGTTGCTAAGGCTTTCTGGAGAATTGCCCCATTTTTCAAAGTGTACTCAGTTTATGCCTGTGAATTTAAAAATATTCTTAATATTTTACAAGTAAGTTAGATAATTCTTAAACCCTTTGAAAATTAAATTACTTAGGTATTGTTAAATAAAATAAACTTAGAGCCAGTGTCACATGATATTCATAATATTGTTAAATTGGTTAAAAATTCTATTTTCTAAATGATAAAGGTTTCAATATCAAATTTATTTTTAGAATGCAAGAACTTTGAATCCTCAATTTGCAAAATTTGTTGAAAACCAAGAATCTAGACCAGAAGTTCAAAGCAAACTGTCAGCACTTTTGATCACACCTATTCAAAGAGTTCCCAGATACAAACTTTTACTGACCCAACTTCTTGAACTGACAGAGCCTAGTGAAGATGATTATACCAGTTTAGCAGGTAAGCTTAAATGCAGCCTAATTTATTTTTAATAGACTTCCAAAAAAAATGAGGTTCTCAATTCTTCTGTGTATTTTTATTTATATTCAGCAATATTTCTTTACCAAATTGTCCGATTCCAATTATTTTTTGTTAGGAAGACGGTACCTCAGAGGTGGTCCCATATAAATTTGGTCAAGATCTGATGATGTAATCCATGAGAAAATCCTCAAACTATTCATTCATTTTTGGAGTCTGTTTTTTAAAATTACTTTTATAACTTGTAAAAATTAATTATTAAGTTCATTTTTTATTTATTCAAAATGGTATATAGTATGATTTTTAAAATTCAAACCAATGAAGGTAACTGTATTAATAAATGACACTATTAGACATGGATAATGTATGAAATAATTACTTTCACTATTAATAGCAATTTTAAGCTAATAATTAGTTGTCAAAGTCCTTTGAAGCACTAGATCTACCAGTGATTCACATAAACTAAAGGAAACATTAAAATTTTAATGCACTAAGTGAAAGTAAATAGCAAATTCACAGCCGAGTATATAATTTTTTGTAAATGCTATAAATAACAAAAACCATATTCCAGTTATGATACTTCCTGTACCAATAATTAATACTCCTCTGTTAATGACCGGAATCAAAAAGCTGGTAGATCTTATATTTAAAAGGTTAATTGCTGATTTTTTTTGACAGTACAGCACTATATCATCCATCATCACTGTATTTGCTTGTGGACCAGTAATTGACAGGTTCTGCTGGTTCCAGTTATTGACAATTTAGTAAAAATGAGGTTATATGACTTACAAGTGACAAAGACATTATATTATCTAAGATAGACTCGCCCTTCATACTGTATAACCAATACAGCTTCTGTCCACATGATATACTAGATGGGGAAAGGGGTATCATATGTCGCACATAACCATAGTGTTTCGGTGGGTTTATTTAAATTATATAAAGACTAGACTAAGATGATGGTGGGTGAGGTTTTCCGGGTTTTCCTCACCTGTAAGTCAAATGGCACCATCAGTCATCCTTAAGTCGTCCCGGAGCGCCACGGCAAATAATAATAATAGCCGTCCCTTCCCCTACACAAGTCGTTCAGTCCACTTCAGGGGTTGAAATTCACTCGTAAGGGGGTGAATTAGGGAGAGTATTATTATTATTATTATTATTATTATTAATCCATTCATTCAAAATTCAGCCCTTATTTATTTCAATCATTTAGATTGTGTTTTATATTACACAGACAGAGCTGTCACATTGGCTGCCACATTAGAAAGAAGAGATGGCTGCTAATTTAAGTGGGGATAATTTGTGCGAGTTTGTTTATCTGAGGAGCAAGCATTTGTTTTATGAAGAATTCAGTACTTATGTCTATGACGCTAGCTCTACATTGTCACCATATTTCAGCACCTTTAAGTGACCTTTATAATTTTTGTATGTATAATGGTGAATTCCCTAATATCTTTAAATTAACCACAGTAGCTCCAATTCACAAAAAGTGGCTTGTGAGGTTTTAGACTTTCGGCCAATATCTGTGATCCCATATTTAGAAAAGATATTTGAATCTGTTTTGAACAATATTTAGAAAAAAGATGTTAAATACTATATTATGGAATCAAGTATGGTTTCAGAAAAAAAAATCGTGCTTTGAAACTGTTTCACGAATTGTGGACATTATAGCCTGGGACTTTGAAAATAGTATTCAAACATCTATATTGATGTGTGATCTCAGCATGGCCATTGATTGTGTACCAGTCACAACTTGCTGATCATAAAACTTGAACTTTATGGTGTGAGAGGGGTGCCTTTAAAATTGATAATCAGCTACGTACAAGACAAGCAGCAGTGGGTCATTCTCAAGGATAAAATATAAAATTTTCGATATATTAAACATGGTATGCATCAAGGTTCCATTCTTAAGCCATTGTTGTTGTTGTTGTTGTTGTTGTTGTTTATAATGTATGTGAATTATATTTTTTACTTTCCATGATATTGCATTTTTTTATGGACGATACAACCTTATTTAACCTATTAGGCATATTAATACAACTGTGATGTCAAACACTGGCAAAGCAGAATACTCGTTATCAACAAACTATTTTAAATTGTATACAAATAAAACCCAGCACATCAACTTCCACCCTAGAAATGGCATAAGTAATACCAGAAAATTTTTAGGGATCATCGTTGATGGCTATAGAGCTGGTAAATTCACAGCTACAGCAATATGTAACTTCTATGAACATGTGCTAAGGGCTCTGGTGGAGCGGAAGACTTGTATAACGGGATTCTATGATCTCACCAGAGCCTTTGACACTGTACATCATGGTACATTGCTAAAAAAGTTAGAAAGATATGGTGGGAACCGACTTTTTTTGATAGTGAATTGAGTGCAGACATTGCGGGAAACGACTATATTCCAACTCCTTGTTTATGATTATTTTATTATCACGTAAAAATTAATCGATTCCCGCAGTAATCCCTCAAACACGGAGTTCGAATAAAATCTTCCCACACTGACGGTACTCTATTCACTTTAAAAAATATTCGGTTCCTGCGGTGAGAGTGGTAAAAACTCTTTCTCAACCAATAAGTTAAGCTAAGAGGAATATCTGCTAGACGAGATATCAAATAAGGCACACCCAAGGATCAGTCTTGGGTCCTATTCTCTTCATAATAAATTTTAATGGCATTTCTTTGAATTTGAATGATAATATTGTTCCAATAATGTAAGCAGATGATACCTCATTTATATCTATACATAATATAGAGTTGATTACTAGTAACCTTATAGATTGAGAAAATGTAGCTAGATTGGTTTTACAGTAATCATCTAATGATTAATTAATCTAAAACGCACAAAAAAAAACATTACTGGGACTTTATATCAATACCACACTAAATCTCGGTTCTCACATAACATTACTTTGTAAGTTTCTAGCTAAATTAATTTATGCTATGAGGTAGCTAAAACACAATTTAGATATACCGGGTGTTGTATCGTCGAGCGGGATATAGGAAATCTCATGTAATTTTAAATGGGGTCAATGATTGGCTTCCCTAATTATTTTAGAGAAAAATTCTGATTAAGTTTATTAAAGAGCACTAAAACACACATTTAAAAGAATAACTTTAAGATATTTTTTATTAGCCTATTTACGAGTTATTGCAGATTCATACACCTTTCATATTTTCGATGTACGAGTTTTTAATAACAATAAAGCACACATTTCAAAATGACAACTTCATTTGACAGTCATCTTTTACCTTGGCTGGTGCTCGTAAATACAGGGCCATAAAAAAAATACATTTGAAAAGAAATCTGCGATAACTCGTATACGGGCTAATCAAAAATATCTAAAGGTATTTCTTTGAATGTGGGTTTTAGTGCTCTTTAATCAATCCAAATATAATTTTTCTCTAAAATAATTAGGGAAGCCAATAATTGACCCCATTTAAAATTACACGGGATTTCCTAAGCCCCTCTCGACGATGCAACACCTGTGACAGGCTTCTGGTTCACCTACAGTGAATCAGCGAGTCTGTGTGGCGCTATGATGGTGACTCCCGAATTGGGGTTGCTCAGGCGCCAGTTTTGGTATCGCAGTTTGCTCTGCGACCCTGTGGTACACCAGAGTGTACTCAAAGTAAACTCAGTGGAGGTAAAAATAATACCAGTTGGTCACTGCTAGGTAGCCACTATACTAGAATAAATAAAAATAAAACAATTATCTCCTTTACACCTCGTACCATACGGTACCCTGAAAGAAAACAGTTAAGAACCAACAATAAGATAAACACAGGAATAGGTAATAAAATATATATTTACAAAAAAAAAAATACAACGGTGGTAGTGCACGGTTCTGGCACGGCTGTAAAAGTAAAATTAATAAAATGAATGATTACAATTAAATGAGCCTAAAGAGAAATAATTAAAATTAAAGTATTACAATTGAAAAACTAGTCAAATATCAACGGCTCCCTGTATTCGGAAAATTTATAAAAAATAATTTATTACAATTGAAAATTAGTTAAATATTAACGGCTCCCTGTATTCGGAAAATTTATTAAAAATAAAATTATTACAATTGAAAACTAATTAAATATTGGGAAATATTTACGGTTCGCTAGCACAGGAGGCTAAGCGGTCCGGGAATTATGAAATTCCCTGTATACGGAAAATTTATTATAAATAAATTATTACAATTGAAAACTAATTAAATATTGGGAAATATTTACGGTTCGCTAGCACAGGAGGTTCAGCGGGCCGGGAACTATGAAACTCTCTGTATACGGAAAATTTATTAAAAATAAATTAATACAATTGAAAACAATTTAAATATGACGGTAATCAAATGTAAGCAAATAAATAGGCAGACCATGTCCCAAAAGAACTGGAGAACTACTCTTAATGAATAGGAACCAGTTGAAAGTGATAACAGGGTTCATGACTGGGCACGCCCCAGTAAAGGGACACTTGAACAAAATTGGCATGTACAATGGGGAACTCATGTGCCGACTATGTCACAAGAAACCAGAAACGGCCAAACACATACTGTGCGAATGCGAAGCTCTAGATCGCAAAAGACAGGCTCTTTTTGGACAACCCCAGGTTGATCCAACAACGTATAGAACCCACTCACCCAAGGATATGTACAAACTTGTACAAGGTACAAAGGTGATAAAGTGGGTGCTATGAACTAACATGGGGTAAAACACAATAAGCCAATAGGCTTCAGTGTTATTCGGAGACACATAGTCAGACGAGCCCAGGAGAGAAAAAAAAGCAAATAAATGAAATCAAAGTTTTCGGAACGTCCCTGTATCTTAGTTCGGACCGATCGGCGCTCTGGCAATTACGTTGAACGAGAATGATAATTTTCAGCACGGTGTTTGGAACAAGAATGCGATGGTTAACATAATGAATAAATAAATGAATAAATAAAAGAAAAAAGAAACTTACATGAAAAATACTGGGCGCTTCTTATAAAAAATTGCCAACGGTTTCCCACTAAGGGATGAAATGAAAAATGCTGGGCGTGAATCAAAAATCTTTCACTTGTCGGATGGGACTAATTGTAAATAAAAAAAATAATATGCGGTTTCTAAAATAAACGGGGTTCTTCAGCAGTCTAACAATATCACGGTCACTCACTAGTCGGTGGAGAAGAGAGAAGAGCTTACGGTTGCCGGAAATCAAGAGAGCGTAATTCTCAGATGTGATCGAATTTATGTTTTTTCGCTGGGCAAGATTGAAGACCGGTAAGCCCGAGTGGGGGATACCACCACTACAGTCGACTGTTTACAATTTAAAAATAAAAAAATGTCCTTCTAGTACCTTGACAAATAAAAGTAGATAATTGGTACGAAATGGACTCTACAAAATGCCCATTCGGATTTCGGCAAATACAGGAATATTTTAACCTACGAGGGTACTCGCAATTGTTGAAAAACGGTAATTCCTGGAAAACAGAAATACAGGGATCTTCTACATGTCCTCAGGCGGGAATTAATTGAAATATACATTTTTTAAAATTAATTAAAAGGAAAATTTAGTGACTTCGTCACACACCCCGTACATTATCTCGTGAGAGCATAATAATAAATGACCCATGCTATCCTGGTTTGAGGTAATTTATGCCAAGCATGAAAAGTGTATTCAACTATATAATGCATTATCATCAGAATATAATTAAGTGGGTTTAACCCAATTTAAAAATAAAATTAAAAGTGTTTTACCAGAGCAGTGTTTTTACTCTGTTGATGAATTTAGTAATATGTTGTATGTACTGATATGCTGTCATGTGTGTTTTTTTTTTTGTTCACTTTTAATGTCATACTTTCTGTACTCTTGACTATGTACTGTTTATGTAATATATTTCCATCTGTTATGCTCCCCTCCTATTGCATCCCGCTGCAATAAAATAAGCAGGTAAATTTTGTCCTGTGTCAACTTAAAACCAGTGGCGGTTTTTAAACAAAATATTTGTGTTCACAATTACAGAATATAGGTCTCAGTATAGTAGTAGTAGGTAACAAACTTTTAGTGTTTATTATAAAGTATAATATACCTTTCTGAAACACAGAATGTTTTTTATCTACAACTGTACTGATACCTATATTCTGTCATTGTGAACCCCAATATTTTGGTTCGGATCCGCCAATGCTAAAAACAATTACTAATAATGAAACTGTTTATTGAGTATCTATTATATTCTTTTCCATTCCCACATATCTTATAGATTAGACATTTGGGGAAAATTCAAGGATTCTATAAGAGTGTTTAAGCTACAAAAGCAAGCCTTAATATCTTCATTCCAGTAAATAGTATGAAAAATAAGAAAGACACGTCAGTTTTTTACTTTCATTAAATATTTTTAGACCTCGTTTTTAAACCTTCTTGCAGGGGTAGATGTTACCCTTAGAATCTTAAATGAGAAGAGAATCAAGTGGCACATCATCTTAAAGGCAATTTTGAGAATTTAGCAATATTGTAAGCAACTATATTGTAATATTTTTGATTGCGACTCGACCGCCCTTCCCATTTGGGATTTTAAGAGTAACATCTTCCTCTTTTAGCCCTCCGAAAGGGCTAAAAATATTCTCATTGAAAGTGTCCCCGTTGACATACCTTTCCGATTTTTCATATTATTTACCTGGAAGAATGATATTAAGGGTGAGAAGTTTTAAAATAATTTAGGTATCTAATTTGTAATCTTTGTTTTCATTTTGACTTACTACAAACATTTTACCTCTATTTAATCAAGTACTGTCCTAGAAACTATTTTAATACCTTCTGTATTTATTAGAATGTCTGGAAAAAATATCAGAAGCAGCAGATCACATCAACAAAATCGTTGAAGACCAAGAAAACATGCAAAGACTTCTGGAACTACAAAGATGTCTTAAAAGTGGAGAACCTAATATTATAAAACCAGGAAGAATGCTAATTAAAGAAGGAATTTTAAATAAAATGGCTACAAAAAATACGCCGAGTGAAAAACTCTACACCGTCTTAATGAATGATATACTCCTTTTTGGAAAAATGAAAAGAGAAGAACTTAAAGTCAATTCATTGAAATGCTTTAGTATATTTCCTTTAGGAAAATGTAAAGTATTGGAAATTCTGGATAAAGGCTGCATGAAGATTCTTTGCCAGGATGAGGAACTCATTCTCTACCACGAACAATTCAGTGAGACTAAGAGTTGGATAGACAAAGTTAGAGAGTGTATCGAAGTCTACATATGTGACAGAAAGACATTAAGAAAGGATAGTTCATCAAGGAGACCTGTCAAAAGGAAAGACTTGCATGAGTACCACGAAATCGGGTTGAGTCCAGGCATACCTTTGAAAAAGAAGAAAACAGTAAGTATTTTTCTTGATATTGGGTCCTATGATTGAACGTTTACGTTATCCGTAACGTACATGTTAGGCCGAGTTTTAACAGTAATGAGGCAAGTTCGTATCATAAAAAACTTTTTCCAACACGTTACTGTTATTTTCCGCCTGTTATCTTCTAATTTAACAGTTTTCCATCATCCGAACTTGCCTCGTTACTTTTAAAATTCTGCCTAACATGTACGTTACGGATAACGTAAACGTTCAATCATAGCACCCAATGTCTGTTTGAAAATATGTTTGTTTTTTATTTATTATTAGATTATTCCTTCATTTTGCCACCTTAATTACTGATGTTGGTTTCATCCATCCTTTTTGACGTGGCATTTGATTACCTGTGATGTGATTCATTTTGTAGATCCCTGGTTTTTCTTCTTTTTATTGTTGAACAAATGAAATCAAAGATTAGAGAGATATTGCAAGTTCGCTTGAGGTCAGTCAGACATCTGAGCATGTGCAGATCGTTTAAGTTCTACAAGTGACTTTATTAAAGATAGTGCCGGTCCTTAATTGTAGATGTTTAGCGTTCGGGTGCGCTCGCTAACATTTGTATCAGTTTAATGTTTTCTTATATTGAATATTTAATATTTGCATCTAAATCACCTAAAAATGTCCCATTTCTAATGCCTCTTCCATATTATGTACTATTATACACAGCAACACAGATGAACCATGATTTAATTAATTTATTTAAAATGAAGTTAGGAATCTGTATAAGGACAAGGACTCTAATGTCAATACACCAAATCTGCAATTTTTATTTAAGCATAGAATTTATTTGCCTCTAATTACGTTGCACCATTAGTGGCTGAAGTTACAGAAATTTGTAATATCTCTCTATTTTATCTATTTCCATCTTTTTATTACTGCTTACCCTCAAAAAAATATTGTGAAAATTGTATATAAAATCCATCCAAAAAGATCTCTTGACTTGACCTTTGGAAGTAATAATGAGTATTTAATCTTAAAAGCAGCATTAGATCACGTCCATCTATCACGTCATAAAGGTTGTTGTCCAATAGGGAAATATTTGCTCAACTGTTTGAGCTTCTAGAATCTCTTGTTCTCGTTATTCCGTTATCATGCCTTAATTTAACCAAAAGTATTGTTTAACAATGTGTTGTAAAATTATATGAGAGGTACATTGCATGGTCCTATATAAATTTGGTGAAAATCTAATAAATGGGTCCATGAGAAAATCCTCAAATTCTTCATTTTGTTTGTATGTATGTTTAGCGATAATTCTTTACTACCTTGTCCGATTTCTATGATTCTTTTTTGTTAGTAAGGGGGTATATCAGGAGTGGTCCCATATAATTTGCTCAAAATCTAATAATTGGGCCAATGAGAAAATCCTCAAACTCTTCATTTTGTATGTATGTTTAGCGATAATTCCTTACCACCTTGTCCGATTTTTATGATTCTTTTTTTGTTAGTGAGGTGGTACCTCAGAGATGGTCCCATATAAATTTGGTTAAGATATGGTGATGGCATCTGCACGATTTTAAAGTAGGTTTTTTAAAATTACTTTTAATACTTGTGAGATAATTGCAATTGAACACTTCATGTCTCTGAAAGTGCTTTCACATGAAAAACAGCTGACAAACTTATAAATCCGAATAATAAACGAAATAACTTAATAAAAATAACAAACTCTATACATGTGTCTTTTTTTCCACCGGTTTGTTGGAATCTTTGTTTCGCCGATGTGGCCTTGAACGCCTTGTGTTGGATTCGATTTATTTATGGTTGATCGTTGAAATAAATAACAGTTGACATTTTGGATTAAAATTTGTGTTTATAATTTTATTTGAATGTATTTACTTACTTTAATTTTTATTAAAATCTCATTTTTTCTGTTTTGCCACAAAAAAAAACAATTAAATAATTAATTAACTCCTTAATTCTGATTAATTCCCGCAATTCATAGCTGTCAGTTCTCACATCTAATCATAAAAACCATAGATTGAAGTGATGGAATGGTGTTGCATCGATTGCATTAACGCTGGGTAAAAAGGCAGCACTATTAGTTCATCATTGATAGATTGATGAAAAAAAGACAGGTAGATACCGCACCGATGCCAACGTTGCTGCAACAGCTGGATAAAAAGACACACGTAAATGTTATAACATTTGTTTTGATGGGAAACTTTCTGGCAATAAAAAAAATATTAGCAAATCTTGTATTTTTTCCACAGTTAATTTTGCAAAGGAATTTATTTGGCAAAAACTAAAGACTTCATATGTTCCCAGTAGGTTGTAATTAGGATTTCTAAAATTTTATATGAAATCTCTTCCGAGACTATATGTTCAATTGCGTTTTTCTTGAAAACTGTTAAAACTGTCAAGTTTAAACAAGTATAACAATTCTACATAAAATTGATGTAAATCATGTTTCTGGTCAAAATTACTAAAACGTTTCAACAAAAAAATATGACCAATCATTTTATCATCCCGAATTGCATATGTTGCGCCTCCTGTGATAAAATGTAAAATAATAAATAGTAGAATATTCTTTGTCTAAAGTTATACCTCTGTCATAAATGAAAAAACATTTCAACTTTAACATTCTGTATCTTTTACCACAGCAACATTTTATTAAGGCATGTTTCATCCACACTTCATATTTTCGTAAAAATAACTTGTACGTACTCTATGTCTCAATAATAAATAAATATTAATCTTTATTCATCTTTAAACATACAAATATATCAAATGGGGCAAAAAAATGCACAATGGATGAATAAACATCAATAATCAAAAAAATGCATTATTAAAACATTTATTACTATTCATAATATCGTTTAACTTTAAGGAGGCTGACAATATTTCTGGAACAAGAAATATATTTAAAATATCTGGACGAAAACCGATAACTAGGACACCTATGAATTTGGAGGAAAATCCTTCTAGGAATCCCAGTGTATCCAGTAATGCATCAACATGTCACAGTTCAATTTCTAATACAACAGAAGATTCCGAAAGAAATGAAAATGTGCCTAAAATGTCAAAGGAAGTTTTTATTTTCGGAAAACCGCATCCAAATGATGCAGGTTTTAAGGTTGGTAGTATTTTCGCGGGATTGGGTTCTAGTGTGAAAAAATTTTTTGGTTTTAAACATTAACTGGGTGATGAAACAATTTTTATTTTTTTATATTTTAGTTAATAGAACTTAAGTTTATATTTTTAAGGTTATCAAAATATTTTGATACATTCAGATTATTTTGGTAAAAGTTATATTTATTTAAAAATGCATAATATTCGTGTGTATACATATAGCAGATTTATGTATATGTCAGGTGAAAAACAAATAATATAATTTTTATCCTATGGATATTTTTTCTTATAGAAATTGAATTGTATAGGATTTTTATGATAATTTTAGGATGATGTATTTATGTCAAAATATTATGCCGTTTCCATGTTGTAAATTTATTGAGGAGTATTTAATACTAATACATATTGAAGGTAGTTTATCAGAGGCGACTTGTCCTATGGGGCTAAAGGGCCTTGGCACTGGCGCAAAATTTGTAAATATTTCGGTCCCTAAAAATATTTCTTTTTATATTAATTACAATTGTCGGATCAAATTATGGCTAAACGATACATTATATAAATTATTTATCATTATTTAATTTGATCCCGTTGAAAAAACTTACGTCGTATTATTCCTAGACACAACAAATTTAATAATTCATGCAATTGACTGTCCGCCGTCTATCCGAGCACATCGACCAGTGGCCCGGCTGCTTACATATCAACCTATTGTAAAAGTTTACTAAAGGTCACGCCATTCGCCTGTAGAAAGCGCTTCTTATACATTCAAACGGGGCCACGTTTCAAGCGGCTCGGAATGAATAGTTAGAATAGTATTGTTTGAATCGCGTGTTCGGCGAGTTCGGCGTATTGCTTTTGACATTTTATGCGTTATGAATTTTTGTTTGTTAGGTAGTTAGTTAGAATAGTTGAGTTTTTAAAGTATAATAAATTAAAAATCGTCCGAGAGTCCGAAGCAAAATGAATAAAATAAGCAATCTGTTACTGAAACCTTTTTCCATGCACTCGCTCGAGGAAAAATGAACTGATACACGTTATGGATATTTTAGAGAACGACAAAGAAATTAAATTCTATGATTGAGCAAGCTGGTGCTTATAAACTTAGATTACAGGACAGAGATTTCATATTTTGGTTAACAGTTCTTCATAAAGTCATGCCAATGTCGAAATAATTTTTAAGCAACTGCAGACGATTAATACCGACCCTATCAAGGCTAAACGGGATCTAAAAAAAATTTCGAAAATGCAATGCAAAAAATTCGTAATGAAATGGACTTTTAGAAACCGAAGCTGAACTTGTTCCTCAGAAAAGGCGACGTTAACCACGTTCCAATCTATATGTTTCAACAAATAGAAAAATAGAAGTCTTGGAAGTTTGCAATTCCATTATACAACAGATTAGGACACAATTCATTTTCACAGGACATCTGAGAGCTACCGCATTATTCATGAAAGAACATTTTATCGAATACCAAAAAAACTTTCCTGATCAATTGCTCTCTGACACAGTTAACGCATATCAATTTCTAGAAAAAAATCATCTAAAAACAGAACTGCAAGTACTTTACGAAAGAGAAGTGTTGCAAACCATTTCTGGAGCCACTCCTCTGTTATCATTAGTTTCGCAAGATATGAAGTACACTTTTCAAGAAACTATTACATTACTGGAAGTTTTAGTGACAACACCTATGTCAACATCTGAAGCTAGAAGAGGATAAAAACTTTTTTACGCAACTCAATGAACGAAGAAAGACTAAGTGTGCTAGGAATGTTATCAGCTGAAAAAGTGTATCTAAATAACAATGACGACTTTAATAGATGAGTGATTGACCTTTTCACTAATAAAACAGAACGAAGACTTCAAATATTGTTCAATGTAAAATATTCTTTATTTTACTGTATAGGGTTGGTTGGAGTGCAATAAATTACTATTCAAAGCTAAATTATGGGAAGTTTTTTATGTTATTTATTATTTTGTAAAAATGATAAAGGCGTACGTTAATATACTTTAAAATATTACCCAAGATATGCTTTTTAACGGCTTTGAGTCAAAATCTAGGCTAGGCACCCGAAAATATTAATCCGTGGCTCCACCTGTGTGCTAAAGCACGAGCCGCCACTGTAATTTATATTTAATTTATTGGTCAGAATTTAGATCTATCTTCTTTAAAAAAAACTATAACTATGTTAATAGTCACTTATTAAAAATAACCTTTTGTTATTGAAGGATTTTTTATTGCTATAGACGCCTAGAAGCAAATTATTTCCACCAAAAAACGAAAAAATCCATCAATAGGAAACATTTTGAATTTAACAAGTTACACTATAGCTTCCACCACCGGGACCTAGGTACATGTTCACTTCCCTCCACTGTACAAATTTACAAATAGTAGGCAAAAAACAAAAGTTGCCACTTATTGCAGTCAGATGAGGTATTATGTGCAGCTGGCCCTGAATTTGATAATACCAATTATTGTGGTTCTTATTTTTAATGGTATTGTCCTTTTTCCAAAAAGTAATTTTTTATTGCATATTCCTTCTTCTACAGCCAGTACTCTAGCTCCATATGGACATTTTAGCTCTATTATAGTTTTGTTTTTTTTAACCCATCCGGACTGGCAGCAATAAAACCATACAACGCATTGTTTTTGACACCTGATTTACCACTAAACAATAAAGCAACGTATTACAATAATTTAAATATGCAGAAACAACAAATGTCCAAATAATAACACAAAAACAAAATAACCAAAGCAAGTATGTACTTAGATCCGGGATAATTACTAAATAATTGCAACAATATGCCACCTAAACCAAATTTACTTAGTTTATGAACTAACAATTCACGATTCACTCTATTAAAAGCCTTGGAGAAGTTGGTATATATAGCATCTATCTGACACCCTATCTCCAGGGCTTTGGAAATAAAGTTCAATTCTTTTGCAAGTGCAAAATCCAAATTGTTGGGGAGTTATGATACTAGTGCAGTCATAAGTTAAGTATGTTATGATGCTTTTAAAGAGCTTTGGGATTATGCTAATTTTAGATATGGGACGGTAGTTTTTAATGTAAGATTTTTTACTGGATTTGTATATTGGTGTGACATATGAGTTTCCAATAATCTGGAAAATCTATTGTTAAAAATACAAAACATTTTTTATAGTAAAAATAAATAACAAATAAGACATTGCACTGATCATCACAAAAGCTGCCATTCCTTTTTATGAAAATAGAATTTTATTAAATGAATTTATTACTGTTACTAGGAAATGCTTCTTGCGCAAAAGTAAACGTCATTTTCAAAAATAGAATTTAACATCCACGTGTCTCATGCAATGTAACTCTCATATAACTTTACAACACACATTGTTGGTTGAATTAAGGCATGATAACGGAATAACGAGAACAAGAGATTCTAGAAGCTCAAACAGTTGAGCAAACATTTCCCTATTGGACAACAACCTTTATGACGTGATAGATGGACGTGATCTAATGCTGCTTTTAAGATTAAATACTCATTCTTACTTCCAAAGGTCAAGTCAAGAGATCTTTTTGGATGGATTTTATATACAATTTTCACAATATTTTTTTGAGGGTAAGCAATAATAAAAAGATGGAAATAGATAAAATAGAGAGATATTACAAATTTCTGTAACTTCAGCCACTAATAGTGCAACGTAATTAGAGGCAAATAAATTCTATGCTTAAATAAAAATTGCAAATTTGGTGTATTGACATTAGAGTCCTTGTCCTTATACAGATTCCTAACTTCATTTTAAATACATTAATTAAATCATGGTTCATCTGTGTTGCTGTGTATAATAGTACATAATATGGAAGAGGCATTAGAAATGGGACATTTTTAGGTGATTTAGATGCAAATATTAAATATTCAATATAAGAAAACATTAAACTGATACAAATGTTAGCGAGCGCACCCAAACGCTAATAAAGTCGCCACTATTTGCTGCCGTTAAACATCTACAATTAAGGACCGGCACTATCTTTAATAAAGTCACTTGTAGAACTTAAACGATCTGCACATGCTCAGATGTCTGACTGACCTCAAGCGAACTTGAAATATCTCTCTAATCTTTGATTTCATTTGTTCAACAATAAAAAGAAGAAAAACCAGGGATCTACAAAATGAATCACACCACAGGTAATCAAATGCCACGTCAAAAAGGATGGATGAAACCAACATCAGTAATTAAGGTGGCAAAATGAAGGAATAATCTAATAATAAATAAAAAACAAACATATTTTCAAACAGACAATATCAAGAAAAATACTTACTGTTTTCTTCTTTTTCAAAGGTATGCCTGGACTCAACCCGATTTCGTGGTACTCATGCAAGTCTTTCCTTTTGACAGGTCTCCTTGATGAACTATCCTTTCTTAATGTCTTTCTGTCACATATGTAGACTTCGATACACTCTCTAACTTTGTCTATCCAACTCTTAGTCTCACTGAATTGTTCATGGTAGAGAATGAGTTCCTCATCCTGGCAAAGAATCTTCATGCAGCCTTTATCCAGAATTTCCAATACTTTACATTTTCCTAAAGGAAATATACTAAAGCATTTCAATGAATTGACTTTAAGTTCTTCTCTTTTCATTTTTCCAAAAAGGAGTATATCATTCATTAAGACGGTGTAGAGTTTTTCACTCGGCGTATTTTTTGTAGCCATTTTATTTAAAATTCCTTCTTTAATTAGCATTCTTCCTGGTTTTATAATATTAGGTTCTCCACTTTTAAGACATCTTTGTAGTTCCAGAAGTCTTTGCATGTTTTCTTGGTCTTCAACGATTTTGTTGATGTGATCTGCTGCTTCTGATATTTTTTCCAGACATTCTAATAAATACAGAAGGTATTAAAATAGTTTCTAGGACTGTACTTGATTAAATAGAGATAAAATGTTTGTAGTAAGTCAAAATGAAAACAAAGATTACAAATTAGATACACAAAATATTTTAAAACTTCTCACCCTTCATATCCTTCTTCC